TTTTCGCCGAAAATTTAGGCACGTATTCGAATTTTTTTCTCGGAACTGCGTAGGATTTCGAGGGTATGTCTGTTGACCAAATATGATTGTAATTGACCCCTCTAGCTAATAATAATTTTTTTTTAATGATTTGAAAGTTTTTAATTTCGCCGGAAAATTTAAGGGAAACAGTCCCGTTTTGGTCAGACATTGTATGTTTGCTAAGGAATTTTTTTCTCAAAAATGAGTAGGATTTTGGGGGTATGTGTAATGACAAAAAATGCTTATAATTAACCCTCTCAACCGAAAATAATTTTTTCAGAACCATTTGGAACTTTTCATTTTCGCCGAATTTAGGCAGGTATTCGAATTTTTTTCTCGGAACTGCGTAGGATTTCGAGGGTATGTCTGTTGACCAAATATGATTGTAATTGACCCCTCTAGCTAATAATAATTTTTTTTTAATGATTTGAAAGTTTTCAATTTCGCCGGAAAATTTAAGGGAAACATTCCCATTATGGTCAGACATTGTATGTTTGAATTTTTTTCTCGAAAATGAGTAGGATTTTGGGGGTATGTGTAATGACAAAAAATGCTTGTAACTAACCCTTGCAAACGATAATATTTTTTTCGGGTTGGTTTGAAGTTTTTTAATTTCGTCGAATTTTATATTACATTATTCGCGATCTTTTTCGTTTCCCTTTATTCGGTTACGTTTTCTCTCCAACACCTGTTACTCCGTATCGAAGGGTCGTTTCCGTAAATAAATAAATTGGATCGATCGCGGAATCAAAAGGGATCGGTTCGTAAAAGAGCCTCGTCGAACGTTTTATGGTAATTCAATTGCGTGGATCGTTATTTTAAATCGCCGTCCGACAGCATCGAAGAGGAAAATAATTACGACAGAGCGGGGAGTTCCGTTGCAACGGACTAGAATTTCTTTAACCGAGGCACGTCGGCGATATTTAAATCTCTCCGAGTAGGCACTGACCTCGCATAACGTTCGAGTCTACCCCCGCGTTTACCCCTCTTGGTTCGATCAATTACCGTGTAAATAATTTTCCGCCTGCACGATGGCTCGAGGAGCAATCGAGCGGACACTCGTCGAGCGTGCATCCTGTGCAACGGCTAATAGTTAACGCAGTTAAAAAGCGAGCGTTCTTCCCTGGTCGAGGGAGGGGGCCCCGAACGTTTCGCCTATCGGGGTTCTTTTGTAAAAGAAAATTACGCCGAAGACGGGTAGAGGACTGTCGACGTCGTCCGTGGCAAGGAAAATTTCAAGACGGACGCAGTCGCATACGCCGCGATCGATGGCGCGGCGTACGATTTTTCCGAGTGGCCCCCAAACCACTGCCAGGAACACGACAGAATGCGAATAAACCACCCGGAGCCACGATGATTGCAAAGGAAGTCTCTCTCCCGCGCGGAATATCGTTCCCGTGACGGGTCCTAACGAGCCACGATAAAAATCAGACAATCTCGTTGGGTGATTCGGGGAACCGGGGAGCACCGAAAAACCCCTGAAACTCCAAGGGAATCTCGATCGTTTGCTGAAATATCCCCCACCTCCGACGGTTTCCGCCTTTAACGACCGGGTCAGCGGATCAACTCGATCGCGGTATCCAGCGACGAGAGAGAATAACGCGCGAAAATATTCGTATTGTCAGTTTCGGAGCGATTCGATCGGATTTGGCCGCTATCTCGAGCTGATCGGGACGCGCGTCACGATACACACAACCTTCCCCGCCCCCCTAATTGCACTCTCGTTCGGGGTATGCCGGATGAGTGTACTAAGCCGTTCGCTATCCACGAATAATTCTATGAATTCCCGTTAGACATGTTTGTCACGCGATCCTGCCACGCTAACGCGCGTTCCGCCTCAGAATTACCGCCGCGGATTACACGCCTTCCAGCCTATTTTCCGGCCTTTTAAAACCCGGCAAAAACTGTTCGCGATTACGCGAGCCCCGGGGCTGTAAGCCGAACAAATTAGCCGACCACCGACCATCATCCATTAAATTAGACAGTTTCTTGCCAACGGGATCGCTGGTTAAACCGGAACAGTTTGCACGAACCAGCGTCGTTTATGGCACGGCATTCGGAGTACCTTTTAGGAAAATTCTACTCAATTTTCTAATCCAACGTAACACGCGGGCGTGAAGAGTAACATATTTTTGGAAATCGCGACGAGATCCGAGCAATACCTCGTATCGAGTCAGCCTGCCGCGTCTCGGTTGTTTTCGACGTAGACTCGTTGCAAATATTTTCACCGGGGAAACCGTGTATTCGCGAAATCCCCCGAATCGCGGACACGCGAGAGCGACGTAACGACCTTCGAACGCGAAAATTCCCGCTGATCGCGCGTATGGAAATAGGCGCTAATGGAAAAACGCGCAACATCGATAAACGTTTACGCGCAAAAATTCACCGGCGAAAAAACAATTTTGCTTGAAAGCTTTAACTCGCCGATCGATCGTAAATATACGAAAATAATATAAACGCCGCTTTTTGGATAAAGTTCTCGATATCGTGCGCGTTAAATCGAAAAGTAAAACGCTTGGTATTTTGTTTCAATCGAAATATATCGTTTCGTCTTGGAGATTTTTCTACGCGAGCAATCCACGAAAACAATGAGAGCGTTTTCGAGCGTGACTGGATGCTGTGTGCTGTGTAATGATTTCTGTAAAATACAGTTTCGCGGACGACCGGTCGCGCAACAAAAGAATCAAACGATCCTTTTGTCCAGTGGCTGGTTGGTCCTCGCGACGCGTGTCGGAAAATAGGATGGTCGATTCGGTTATTGAAATCGCGGACAGAAGGTTGCCGCGATTCCTCTTTTCCGATTGCTTCTTCATCCTTCGTAAACGATCCGGCTTGATCAAAATCTTCGCGCGGCAACCGTTGCGTGAAATATCATAGAATGGCTGCTATCTGGGCCACATGGGTGACAAATTGTTGATGCTCGACGCAGCGAGAATTTAATCGACCTAGTTTGACTTTGTAACCGCTTACTTCTCTCTGCTTCGAATTAATGAGACGGAGACACCTTGTTTGCGTTCTGGGCGCTGTGGTTCCGCGGATCTTCCTGATAATACCACGTCGTCGTGTATATTTTGTCTAATTACAAAATAATTACGACCCGGGAGTACGAACGTTAACCGAACAGGGGGTTTACCGGGGTTATCGTTACGAATATTGTAAACGAAATTGGTCTACGATCGATACGTTTAAACTTAAAGTAAAGGCATAATCGTCACTCTTTCAACTTTGTTTAATACTTTTTTCTCGATATCCACGAGCTCTACTTGAGAAATAAATTTCAATGAAATCCATTCACTATTGTAGGAGTTATATTTAGAGGGTTTTCTCGTTTTAAGGGTTTAAGGAACAACTTTTCGAACATTTGTATTTTGAAAAATTGAAATCCTTCTATCGGTAATTATCAAACGCTAAAAATTGCGTGCCCTTTTGTATAAATGGAGTTGCAGTGTATTGTCAAAGGGCAGAAAAATAACGTTAGAATATGGGTAGGAGAACCAGCAGCCGTGTAATCGGAATTAATCCGTAGCGGGATAACCGGTGTTCCGGTGTAGTTGCTCGTAACACGGCCGACCGGATGAGACGAATTCCTCGACGCGTTGCCCTCTGCCACGGTGAGCGATATTTCACCGGAGCCTGATCGCATGCCAGGAACCACGCATCCACGAAACGAAGCTCTCCGTGGAAAACGATTCGAGGAACGAAAGGAGGTTTACGCGTCGCGGATAAATAACGCTCGCCCAAAACCAAGAAACAGAGGGTTCGTCGATCGACAATGACACGTGGCGATACTACCCTTGTACTGGCTCGTAAATCGAACGTTCTCCACGGTTTCCTCTCGTTTTCAGGAGATTTATCGATTATCGAGCCACAGGGACTCCTTAACTTCGCGGAGAAAAAAGCTTGTTCCTCGCGCAAAGGTACAGGTTCTCTTCGTGTTACGTTTCTGTCTTCAAAAATAACCTATCTTGGATATTTAAATATTTAATTACATTTTTGTTGACGCAAAATTTGATATATTTGATACAGAAAATCTTTATTCGCCCCCATTTTATTTTCTCTGTAATTTGCGTCGCTCGCAACAAGTTTGCATCGGTATTTCCCTGAATCCAAAGTATATAGGAATGGAGGCCGCGAGGTTGTTTGCGCGAAAGAGGCTGCATTTGAAATTCAAACGAGGCAAGTTAAGGGACAACGTCACGAGACACGTGGAAAACAATTTCCCCGGGCGTTACGCAACGAGAACCCTAAATATTCGAAGGATAGCGAACGAGAATGGACGTCCTGTGTCGTCCGCAGCGAAACACCGTAACCTCGAGGCGTTACGTAACCTCCCGAGGATGCACGCTGCTTTCAGCCGACAGACATCGATTTCGAATAAAAAATTACGCCGCCCCGTACATCCTGATCCCCCCCTTACGTTTTCCAACTTTGCACCTTCGCAGGTTTGTCTGCTTTCGCGCCGACACATTACGTCCGGCGACCGGAAATCCGAGGGAATTCTGCTCGTTAACTCGTTGGATCGACTTAACTTTCGATCTCGGTGCCATGCAACTCGTCCTTATAAGGTCCGATTTCTCTTAAATTACTGATGTTGATATTTATGCGATTTGAAAGCAGTTAAGGAGGCTTCGTTGTGGGCATCGAAGCGCTGATGGTGTTGCGGCGAGCATCGCGAACGATCGCGAGGGCTCGTTAAAAGTTTCTGGTCGGCAAAAGGAGCGGACATCGAACGACAAACGTACAGAGCCACGCACAGATAAACGGTCAGACAGACGGACAGATAGACAGACGGGCAGACAAACAGATACAAACGACACGAAGACAGGCAAGCCTGGCGGATCGGCGGTCCCGGCGACAACGAGGATCGCAGCGACGCTGGCAACAGACAGACGACACGAAAAAAGACAAGAGGCAATAAAAAGGTACATGGAAGACACGTATAAACATGTGCGTTCGTTGGGAGACTATGGTGGACTCACCCGCCAGCAACCAGGATCATCTGCATGTTGCATGGAGGCGGCCTCTTTCTCGCTTTTTCGCAGAGGGGGCAGTCCGGAGCGGTGAGTCCTCTAGTTTCGCATGCGGTGACAGAACATAGCTATAGAGTGGTAACTAGAGACAGACAGACGGACGGAGAAAAAAAAGGCGGCCCTGCTTAAAGTATCTTCGCCTGGACGTTTCCACCGAATCGTTGTACGTCGGTTACGATAGCGATGGGATCGAGCGTGGAGAACAACGGCATGCAAACACGCCACGAGAACAAGCGTTTATTTCCCAACGCGGGACGATCCCCCAATTCGCGGGGAACTCGGAACAGTTAAAATTGCATGGTTTCGATCAAGTTTAACGGCGGCGTCGTCGAATCCTCGAAACCCGGCGAAACGGGAATCATTTGTTTTTACGAGACCGTTCTCCCGATTCTAACGAAACGAACGATAATAAAGTCGGGATCCCACCGCCAGCGTACCCGTTAGCCGGCATCCTCGATCCGTTTCCATCGTTTATTATTCACCGTGTTCGCGTCTAAGCGCGCCTCCTCGCCGTCGACGCCAATTTTGGAGCACCGGGCCGGTCGGAACCGTCGTATATTTTAAGCAGGGTTCGGAAAAAGGAGAGAAAGATATAGACAAGTAGTGAGAGTTTTAAAAATACTCGCTAAAGATACACGATTCTATGGTATAGTGGCGAGAGAAAGAGACTGTCAGAGATAATCGAAACGGAAAGAAGTGGAAGTAAAAAAGAGATTCTACGTAGAAGTGGGTAATTACGTGTGGGCGGATCGTACGTGTGTATACGTTCCGTGACAGATCGACCTTGAAATCCGCGGCTATCGAGCACCGAGCAGTCCTCGCGGGGGCCAACGAGGAATATCGTTCAGGAATTTTGCCAACAAACTTCTTTCCCGACGACGAGGTCGATCGCTCTCGATAACGAACGCGCCGCGAGAGCTTCCACGTTTTTTTTCGTGAACGCGACAGCGCCTCTATTATGCAATAATGACTTTTTTTTCGTCGCGAAAAGACTAGCCCGGCGAACAAGTTGCTCGAAACGCTCTGGGGGGGGAAAAAACGCCGACAACGGAAGAAACACTCGTCGCGCGAACAATAGGAACGTTCGAACGACAACCCGAATAATAGAGGCTCCTCTCGCTCCGTGGTACGCGAGGCGGAAGGCGAGGAATCGTCGAGTCAAAAATTCACGGCGCCCCAGTCATCGACGGGGGAAAAAAACAAAACGTGTAACCGACGTTTTCGGTAAAAAAAAAAAAATAAAAACAGAGCGAGTACCCGTTTCCGCTCGCGAGGACGTAGAGGGTCGATTTGACGCGGAACGATCCAGACGCGTGCGATGGATACACAGAGCCTGTTTCGTAACAGGCGACGCGATCGAAAAGGCAACAATTTAACACGGGAAACTGAGCAGAAACCGTCGCGGAACTGTTTTTTTCATTTTTCGGAACGACAATTTCGACGGTGAGAAATTGCAATAATTTGGAAGTTTAGCATTTATTGAAATACGCGCGCTGCGATTCGCGTTTATGTTTTGCGGGGTAATTTGCGACGGATCGCGATTAAATTAGACATGCAAGAAACGTTTCGTTTCCGACACGAGAATAGCTCCGTGGCCAAACAACTTCAAACGGAACGTTAATCGGGAAATTTTTGGCGTGTAGTAGAAAATTCCAAGTTTTTTGCATTTCTATTCCGATCCGCGTTATTTCGAGCACTCTCTATCGATGTATCGCTTCGATGGTATTAAAAGAAAGGCGTGTGCCGATATTTCCCCGTACACGCTGTATACAGGGTGGTCCATGCAGCCGTTTCAGTGACACCGTTATTAATGCACTAACGAGAAACTGCCAAAGCAGAAAAGTAAATGACTCGATAAGCATTGCGTCCGTAAGACCTTAAATTTTTTTCAAATTCAACGATGCATGTGCAATCGAGAATCGCATTGCTATACATTCAGAAAAATTGTTAGTTCTTGGGATACATTCAAGAAATATCTTTATCGAAGAAGATGCTCCGATAACGTTTTTTTATCGTTTTCTGCGCTTAAACTATCTGTATTTATCGGTGTACTTTCCAGCATCTTCGATAAAGATATTTCTTGGAAATAACTCGAGGACTAATAATTTTCTTGCCACGACACCTTAACAATTTTTTACGTAGAACGGAAATACTTAAAATAATTTGAAAGGAATCTGAGGTCCTGCAGACATGGTGCTCTTCGATTTACCTTTCTCCTCTGGAATATTTTCGAAAATGCATTAATAACGAAGTTATGGCCTTAGACAGTTGCATGGACCATCCTGTATATCGTGCTCGTAAACGTTCCGAACGGCATGCGTGTCCCGAGGATATCCAAAGCAGTTAAAAAAGAAAAAGTGCTCCTCGGAAAGCGTACGCGGACGTTTACGACGAGGAGCAAGAGCAGCAATACTTTCAACGGTCGAAGATAAAACGATTCGGTATAAATAATTAGGAATACGAAAAGAAACTTTATCGCGTTTCTTTATTTTCCGGTAAAATCATTGCCATCCCGAGCAGCGTATCAGCTGTTACGAAACAAGGCTGTACGCACGCGCGCGTGTACGTTTAGTTGTTTGCGTACGTGTGTGTGTGCGTGTGTGTGTGTGTGTGCGTGTGTGAGCGCATAGTAGCGCAAAATAGATAGAATAGAGAAGAGAAAAGTACAGTGGCTAACTGGCGATGGCCCAGCAGATCGCCGTGGCGGCCCGCACTATTGTACCTTCCCGCATGTTGCGTTTACTACCACGAACCCCCGTGTGTCCCACGCACGTCCTAGGACAGCCGGTGGTGTGTGTTAGTTATGTGTGAGCCACTTACGAATATTCGTTCACCCACTTAAGTCACTAGTCACACTCGGGCGCACTGTGATCGCGCGTGGCATTGTCGACACGGTGGCGCTAAGGCGAGTCCACGCGATCGGCGGATCGGCGTAACGCGACTGGTCGGTCCGGCAGCCACGGTCAGCTGATCGTGTCGCGCGCGCCACGACGGCTCGTCTGACTCTCGACGTGGAGGGCCGTCGACGGTCGAATTTCCCAGGAAATTACGGGGTTCGCGGCGACGAGACGCGGCGGCAGCGGTTACGACGTAGAGAGGGAGAAAGAGGAGCGTTTCGGCGGATATCGAACCGCGGCATCGGCCGGTGGGTTCGTTTCATCGCGCCAGGCGAGTCCACCTTAAACAAGGACGTTCCACGGATCGCGGATTTCGAACGCGGCCGTCGAAGGCGAGCACACCAAGGACGCGGAAAGGATTCCAAGACGAGGGACGGCGGGCGGTCGGGTGGGTGGTTTCCGCGAGAGGGTGGGGACGAGGAGCGGAAGGATGGCATGGAGGAGGGTTGAAGGGGGCCGCGAAACACCGATAAAGCGCACCGTCACGCAATCATTTAATTTAATCGCGGCCAGGACACGAGTTCGCCTCGTGTTGCCCGCGTTCGGCTCGTCCTCGTCCTCGTCCTCGATTTCGCTGAGCCTGCGACCGGCCAGGTTAACGGACACTACGCGCTCGGGAAGCCACGGAGGCGCGTGGATCGACGACGGGGGGCTGGACGGGGGATGGACGCCGAGGCGGGAAGAGGAACGCCGAGCGGAACGGGGCCGAAAACATTTGGCAGAGTAACGCGTCACATTTTACAGCCACTGGAACACCACTGCCACGCGGTCGGTCGATTCGATTAGCGGCGGTACACCACCCCGCGAACACCCGCCCTTTTACCCTGCACGAGATTCGTTACGCTCCATCTATTTAGAGTCCTCCTCCCTATCGTGGCCACGATTTAACCGCGAACGATAGACGGGTCCACTTTCGCCTCGCGATCTCCGCGACCTGAACCGCGGAACGACGGACGATCGGTTGCACCGGAGTTCGACGATCCGGTCTCGCCGCGCCACCGATCGAAAACAAAGGGACGGGACGAAGGAAACGTGGACGAGCGGAGAAGAAAGAGAAAAGAGCGACCCTCGCGTATGGACGACGACACCGCACTCTCGCGCACAAAAGACGACGACTCGCGAACCGGCGGGCGGATTCACCTCGAGCCACGACCACGTTTCCCCGCGTTTCGTAGGTTTCTGAATCGTCGAGCCGGACGTGCGTGTCGCGAGACTCGCTCGGATACCAGAAAAGGACGAAACGACGGCCGAGGAGCCGCCGCCGGAGGGGCGAAAGGATAGGAGATGGAGGGGTTTGGGGACGAGAGGAGGGAGGATCGAGGAGCGATCGCGGAGGGGGAGGTAGCCGGAGGAACGCGGCGGGAGAGGGCAGAAGCCAAGGGGTAGTACGAAAGGGACAACGAGTAACGAAAGGGAGGAGGAGAAGAGGCGCGTACGAAGAACGGCCGTTTAGACGGCAACGATAAGCTCGGCCCGCAGGAGATAGAGAGTCCCGCCAAAGCGACGAGGCGTTTGTGCGTTTACACGGGGCTAGGTAGAAACGGAGGAGAACGCGTAAGGTTGGACCTGGTGGGTGCAGGGCGGCAAAGGACAGTGGAGGTGCCAAGCTTGCTGCCTGGAACCGCCACGGCGGCGCCACCCTCGCTGGAAAATCTCTCCTCTCTCTCTCTTGATTCTGCTTCCTCCCACTATCCTTTCCATATCGCGCCCGCCCTCGGGCCCTCTCCGTCTGCTCCGTTCCCAGTTTTCGATCCTCCTTCTCCCGCTGTTGTCGGTCAGCCTCCGAGGAAGGGACGGGATATCGAGGGTGGGGTTTTCGTTGGGCGGGTAACGTGTCCACGCTCGCTCGATCCCCGTTACGCTCGTAGTCGCTCATTCGGTTTCTATGTTTGAGAGATCGGGGTTTAAGAGACGCGTTCGTATGCGTCGAAACGGGTTTGTGCGCGAGCGCGCCCGATGAGTGCGCCTCGTTCTATGAACGGCACGGCGTACGGGGTGGAATCCACCACCGGTTCTCTCGTCCACCCCGCAGCACCGCCTTCGCCGTGCTGCTCGTGCGTGGGCTTTCCAAGTCGATATCTACCTCGACTCGACTCGACTATTATCCTCCGACACCTTCCTCGAATCTTCCTCTCGGGGATT